TAAACGCTTATATGAGTTTTTACATGTTTCATACAAATCCAATCTAATTTTATTTAAAAGTTATGGTCGACAACTTTAAAATTTCAACATTTTTTTTAGTTTATAGTACCAAAAAATAACATTTTTCATTTTTCTTTTTGTGAATATGAGTTTTTTCAGCCCTAAAATTTTGGCGAAATTAGAAATTACCTATATCCTAATTACTTTTATTTTTATTAATGATTAAGTAATTTTATTTTTAGAAAAATGTTTTTTTCAAAATAGAGGTTTTGAAAATCCGTGTGGTGTATAGTACGTAGGTATAGTACTTCAATAGATACGTTTAAAATTAAATGATATAACTATCGAAAATAGTAAGATTCAAAATAATATTGTACAACGCAAAACAAGATTTCAATTCTACTCTCGACTTCTTTGTTATACATCTGACACCTGATACAAAATTTGGTTTTTTACCGACCTGTTGCTATTATGGTTCAGCGAAAAATTATGAATACGGCATGTGTTAGAGTGTTAGACGACAGACGTTAGTATCGATATGCAAATATTTATATAATTTAATTGTTAAATGTCTGGCAATAGGTATAAAACATAAAAATTTACACTATTTTTAAAGATTACAGAATAGTGTTGTGACCTAGACTGTCGTTGAATTGTCAGAATAATAATAAATTCCTTAAGCTGACCGCCTTATATGTATATATACTGCCGTATCTTATCATAAGAGTGGTGGCTACTGGCTATCTGACTATACTAAGCGGAATCAAATTGCCATTCGATTGGGATGCCTTTTAAGTCCGTCTTTCACTATAGTACCAACGTGAGGCAGGCCACTAAAAAGGTCTCACATCTTACGACTGAGAGAGAGAGTCTTGAAGGGATCACAATTAATTTTTTTTTTGTATTTGTTGAGTTTAAATTGTAATCAATAAAAAATAATATTTTGATATAAAAAAAAATGTACCTATACGACTTACATTAATTCTAATTAATTGAATATTTGAACACGCAATTATGTCGTATGAATTCTTAAATCGAAAACGGTATTTCATTAAAGAATTATTATTTAGAGAGCACCAATTTATCTATGTCTTAACAAATCAACTAGATTGAAAATAAAAAAAATTCTTAACTCTAAAATTATTTGTAAACTATGAATGATTTGAATTTTGTAAAAATTTGTTCTTTAAACGCTCGTAAAATTTAATTTAACTTTTGGGTAGGAGTTTTTTTTGATAAAGGTAGACAAACTTATAAGGAATCTTGTACTCAATTTTTAAAATCTAAGGTATAAAAAATTTTTTTTACGAATTTCTAACTTAAAATAATTTGAAAATTTTAGTGATTTTTATTAATATTGTCGAAATTCTAAATTCAAACGTTCATAAAAAATAATTGTAGATTTACGCTCAACTTTTTTTTGTAATTTTTATAAAACACCACTAACGAAGAACCTTGTATTCAATTTTCAAGTTTTTTGACAGAGTGAAACATTTTTTATCAACATTGGTTTAAAAAAATAATAATAATAATCGAACATTTCATATGCCTATAAATAGTTAAACACAAGTCAAAATATTTTGGTGTATAGAAAATGCGAATATAAATATAACATAGAAATATGATGAGACTGAAACAAATCTTTTTGGGTATTATATAAATGATTTGTCTGAATTGAAGACTACATTTATTAGAGTTCTTAGTGAACATGGCAAATTGTAAACATTACGATATGCACTATAATTTGTATTTTATTATAAATTAGGTACTTATAAATACTTGTACAGTTAATTATATGAAACATTAAGCCCATTAAGTTATTTTATTGTATTATATTTAGAGTACAAGTATGTATCTATACTGTTATAATCATTATACATTTTTTTTGTACCACTGAAAATATATGTTTATGTACATTTTATTTTCAATAAAAATATTATATTTACAAGAATACCAAATATTTGTAATTTCATTTGTCTAATTACATTTGGTGTAGAATTTGTAAATAAATGTGTTCGAATACGTACTGTCTGGGCTATATATATTATATACTAAACAATAAAACTTCATATTAATTGATATATAGGTACTTAATATTGACATATAATATTTTAATCTATTTAACAAAAATATTTATTTATTTTGAATTGCAACATCAGAAGTTGTTAATTTAACCAAGTGTGTTGGTTAATACAACATTAATAGAGTGTTGATTCTTAATAAACAGGCTGTGAATTTAATGCATTTGCATGTTTTTTTGCTACACTGTATAATAAAATAGATTCGGCCAAAATTTGTTTTGACTTATTTATAATCCAAATATCAAATCTTATTTTGCATATTTTTGCATACCTACTTCATGGGCTAGAGCATATAAATGCATGTTTTTAATAATTTTTTTGTATAAATGCTTTTTTTCGTAATATTTATATTATTTCGGTCAATCTGTTCTAAATTGACATTAAAATATTAAATATATTTGTATAAGCTATGACTTGTATAGTTTCATGGAAACTATTCTATTTTTACTTGGGTATTTAACGTGTATTATTGACTGAAATTGTACAAGATACTTCGACAAAGTTTAGTTAATTAACAGGTACAGCTGGAACTGCTTTTAATAACAAATAACAAACAATTCTCAATAAAAACAAAGGATTTCAAATTATGTGTAATATTTCAAAAATATTAACTGGTGAAAAAGAGAACGTAGGTTTGGATATACCGGAAGATTTAACCAGTAGCGACATGACGTATTTCAAGTTAGCCCCAATAACTTTCGTTAGGTGTAGAAGTAGAACGCTTATTAATAATAACCCAACTATCATCAAACTGGTATTGCATTTGCACCAATTGGACCTAAGCTGGTACCGCTGGGTGTTAAATCTACTTCAGATTTCTAAGTGTGTATTGTGTACTTACCTTGTATCGTGGCGTATATGCTTGAAGAACTGCAGTACGTTATAAACTTTGAATTCATATCTGCAATTTGCATACCACGTAAGTGTATAGGTATTCTAGTATCGAATAGTTATTAAAACTACTTTCGTAGCATTAACTCGTGTAAAATCCAAATGGACATTACTTAATTCATTTACATTTGTATAGTAAATTGTAATAAACTTAACGGCAAAAGCCAAAAAGTATCCATCACAGTTTTTATACGCAACTGATAAAGGGGGCTTAACACTGATACTGTAGCGTAAATTGTTGTTTCGACACACGTACAATATGCATATAAAGCCGAAGGATTATTATTAAGAATTTCGAAAAGTAATCAAAAATAGTTATACCTATGTGGTGTTTTCTAATTTTACCTATCTTAATCTATTGGACACACCAAATGAGTTTTTGGAAAAAGCTACAACTGCAGTGACTTGAGTTATACCACGCAACCCACAAGGGATGGAGGAAAGTTCCAAATCAGTTTGGGTTCTGCAAGGGCGCACTAGTACGGACTACATGCAGAGGCTGCTATCTATATATAGATATTATAACTTGGCCAAGTTTATATCTTTGAAGTATATTCTCACTGAGACTTGTTGACACTTCTCTCAAGCCACCATTTCTTACAACATATTATTATAATATTATACTCATTCATACTACGCATTGTCCTAGTGTTTTATTATTATCTATATAATTAATAATAATAATATTTATTATTATTATTATTATTATGTGCCATGGTGGTGGCCCAGTGACTGACTGCAATCACGTAAGATTTCTGACGCTACGCTACGCTAGCTAGCTCTCAGATGGGTGACCACCAGGGTTTTTAGAGACAAAACATGGCACACATACATACCCTTGGTTGGTACCCTACCGACTCAAAAACCCACCAAAAAAATATAAAAAAATAACTCCTACTATACAATCTTACACCCAATAACCTATATTGCCGTGGGTTACCTCTAATAAAATAGTAATTATAATATTATATTTATTGATCAACATTTTAAAATCATGTGTAAATAATAAGATACCCCTCTAATTCCTTGTTATTTTATACACTATTAATATATTATTATATCTACTAAATCACTGTTTAAGTTACTGTTGTAATGTTGTAATTATGTTATTGTCTTTATTTATTCGAATTATATAAATTGACATCTATTGTTTCTGACATTAAAAATTGTATTGTACAAACTTAACAATAAATTCAGATGACTAAGTCGGGGAAACTAGAAAAAAAAATTAAAAACATTGTTATAATCCGATTGAAATTGTATCAAAATTATTTTAAATTATATAAATCGCTTTAAAAGTGTTTAAACTATTTACGTGTCATAGTTATACTATGCATGTGTAATGTGTATAGTAAATTATATGTATCGAAATAAAATAATTCCATTACAATATAATATAAAATAATATAACATGGGAATAAAATTACACATAGCACATGATGTGTCATACTTGCCTTAATATCTATACAGTTAAGTACTTTTTACCAACGTTTTCCGGGGTTTTATTTAACCAGCATTATTATGTTGAACTATGTGATTATTTCATAACCAGAATATTGGTTTATCCAATCTGTCTTCGATTTTTATCTTTCATGCGTGAAGACCCAATTAGATATAGCCAATATATTTCTCTCAAACATTTATTTATTTTACTTATATAACAATAGTAATTTTCTAAAATAAACGTAACTAGTTCTCAGTAAAACGGTCACACATGAATTCGTTAAGAAAAAAAAGTAGATCTTTGAAAATAAATGTGTTATATATTTGTGGTAATAAAATTATAAAATAACATATATTAATTACAATATTGGTGTATTACCTATATATCAGCCATTATATAAATACAATGAGTAATAGTAATAATAATTGTGTATTATACTATCACTTTAACATACCAACATAGGTACTTAAGGATACTAAGTTATAAGTTATATGTAAAAAAAAATATAAATAATAATATAAAAATAATAATATAATGATAATGATTATAATATGTATAAAAGTATAATATGTGTGATAATTTTGCTGACAAATATGTCAAAGCAAATATGTTAAATTAAAGACTAGACTGTTATATAATAAATTGTTTTCCTGTGTCCTTTATGTTGGAAAATGAGTATAGTTATCGGAAGTTATAAACCATATAATTACCTCGGAGTAGATCATCTGAAAGTAAAATCTATTAATGAGGATTTTTTTTTAAATTAATGATTAAATGTACCTATTTGATGTATTTTTCATAAATATTAATGTTTGTTTATATTTTTTATTCAATAACAGACATAATTATGTACAACTCATAGTAATAATTTTATATTTTAAATATTTTCATGATGTAATAAATAATTATGAACAAGTTTAGTCAATTTAATTTTAAACATTGAATTTATGGAACACATAATAATATTTTTTTTAAAGCATAACATTATATTGAACCAGGCATAATAAAATGTGTTTTAAAATTAGATATTATTAACTAACTCAAAACTTGTTTAAGGTACATTACACAAAAAAAAAAAGATTTTTATATTCTAACTTAGAAGGCTTATGGACTTTGAATATAAAACCCTTATGAAAAGTGTACTTGAGTTATATTAATTATTGAATCAAATGGTAAAAATATATTCTTTAAAGTTCGAAAGTTCGAAATATTTAAAATAAAAATGATCATAATAATTATAGTTTGAAAGTTGATTAGTATTAATTTTAGTTTCAAGTAACTATAAACAGTAAATAAAAAAAATATAGTTTACAGTTACGGGTCGTTAATTGTTGACCAATTACTATCAATAATAGTACAATAAATTCTCTGATGACTTTTATTTATTATAGCATTAAAATAGACTTTGCAAATATAAACAAAGAAACTTTCTTACCTAAGTAAATAGTAAATCATACATTAAAACTTTAATAATTTGAGATGGTGTGATATAATTAAAAAGGACCTAGAGTCACTGAGTAGAGGACCACAGGACTAGGCTAGAAAACATGAGCTGCTGATAAAAAAAATTGAAGGGTTGGATGTGTGACGGTATGGTCTTAATAGCAGATGGACTCTAAGAAGAAGAGTTATAATAAATTAATATTATAATTTTAAACTTTAATTGTAATAAGTAATAACCCAATTGGCATTTCCCATATAAAATACTTAGCCATTTTTCAAAACTATGGTATAGATTAATAGATTACGAATACACAGACACAGTATAAAATCATGTTAAACACTTAAGTTCCCGTTAACCATTTTATATCATTCATTCCGGGATTGTATTCTAGTATCTATTAAAATTGTTAAAATTCATTACGAAATCGCATCTTTAAACCTATTTTTAGACGAGCCTCCATTATATGAGTAACGATTTATACTAATTATACAGTATGCTATACAACAAATCAAAAATAATCGATTAATTACCAATTGAATTCGAGAGTTTATAAAATATAAATATAAATACGTCTAAAACACGACCGACTAAACTGAAATATTCTTCTCGAAGCAACGAAGAACGACGATTAGTCTGAAACGAATTTTAAAGCGTTTTCCCGGGAAATTAAGAGGAGAACCCTCGTGAAAAAGCAATAAAAACAATAAAACAACTACTGGGAGCCAATATGAGGACTTAGTTTAGGTAACAATTGTTGGTATCATCACCTTTGGCTGTTTAATAGTGTTCGTAGTGGTCTGGATGGTTGGCGTGACCGGAATTGTGGACGACCGCGTTAAAACCGTTTTCCTTGTCGGCCACGTACTCGACGGTCCTCAGAGTACCATCGGGATCATGCACGCTGTACGAGCCCTTTACCACATCGCCATCTCTGTACTCGTGCGCGGTCTTGTAGTCGCCTGTATGCGGGTCCTGTACGCCGTACTTGTAAGAGTACTTTGGATGAGCCTGCCGAAAACACACACATGCACACTCACGTTAGGGAATCTTGCAATTATGTCGTAAGTCGTGAAGTCGTCGCCGTCTGACGCTCGGTGTTTTGAAAAGGAAACGAAAAAAATTATAATATAATGATAAAACTATGTCGGATTTTCGCACTAGAACGACCGACAGTAGACACGATGCACATTATTATGAATAATTATGATATTGTATTATAGGTAAATAGGAAAAGGTTGGTGAACCGCATATTTGATTTTACACTTTTTACTACAACACCATATTATAATGGTGATACCCACATAGTAGTCCACGTGGTCGTCGTCGTCGTGTCCGCCACCGCCGCCGTAACCTTGAGGATACGATTGGACCGTAAAACTGACGTACAACAGGACGCAAGAACCGACAATAACCTTTGGCGAGAAAAAAATCAAAGAGAAATAGTTTAATAGACGAACAAAATTTATCTCAAATGAACATGATCTGACGCTGTACCTTGGACAACATTTTTCTTGACGTTGAAACAAACGATAGGTAACTATAAATTATAATAAACGTATTACAGAGGATGATCGAAAAACGGCTAAGAACTGTACACACGTTCTAGATCGATTGATGGCGAGAATCTATTGTATTCCGTCCTGCGATCAACACTATATATAACTACGTCGTTCCAGGCAGTCTTCCACTTCTTTTCACACGATCGGTTCGTGTTGCAAACGCAAACATTGCATAACGATATAATATTATATTATAGGTATAATATATACCTGTACAATAAACGCACAGTATTTTGTTTACATGGCGAAACGGTCCATAGGATGTGTTCACTGTTCACTATAGTTGTAGTCATTATTATTTTTTATTCATTATGTTTTTTGTTCTTTTTTGTTTGTGAGCAGTATAGTGAGGCTTATAAAGGTTTTCAAAATAGATTAATATTGTATGGCACAGCAGCAATATATCCACCCCATTCGGGGTGCGTCTGTATGTATGGGTAAAATGTATGTCATCGTGCAAGTAGGGTCGTCATATTGCATTGCACAAGCATATTATAAAGTAATTCATTTCTAGTTAAAAATAAATTGTGATAGTTATCAACCGATATTTTATGTAACATTATTATGAACTGCTCGTAAGTTATTACGATATATTGAAAGTTAAACAAAAAAACAGTTGAACCACAAAATAATATTTACATTCTATACTATGATAGGTTTATTAGAAAAAAAATACTTATTAATTAATATATTTATAGTGAGTACATTTTGGTTAGTGAAAAACATGTATTCGTTATACATTTTTGTGTTAAACTTAAATATTTACCATACTACTTACCTGCATCTTCTGATAGTTAAGTGTTTGCAGTAAAATTTTCTATTCGACTACTTACTTTTAAAATAATAATTTTTAATATGAAATCAGCATATTTTGATCATCAACTGTCATTGTTTATATTTAAAATTATAATAATGACAAATGTATGGATATTGCGATGAACATTTGTATTAATTTATTATTTTAAAACAAAATAAAGTTTTTTATTATTATTATTGATCATAAGCATCAGTAACTATGGGCTATTAGCATTTTTTGGGAGGCTGCGGTTTTGTTGAGGAACACGTGTATGTGGGGCGAGGATTGGTCACTAAAACTGGGTTGGTCATCTATCTGGGAACTAGATGTTAACCGAAACCTGACCTCAGAACACGTTAGTGACAGAGGCCAACTACAGATAAGGCGTTTTTTTTATAGCTATAGTTATCGTTTGCCAAATTATTATTGAGTAAAGATCAAATAATAATCTTTGCTATCTATACTCAGATGATATACGATCTGAACTTTAAAATGAAATGTAATAATTAATTAACTAATTCATTTGTTTTAAATGTTAAGGCATGTATTAACTATCAAGTACTCACTCTCATAATATCACCAGTAGGCATTTTACTCATATTTCAGTATTTTACTATACCCCAACTTAATTTGTTTTTAACTGAAAACTAATTTGGATTTGAAACTTGAGAAAAAAACTTGAACAATTTAATTCAGTTTATATTAAAAATTGAATAGTGTAAGAAATTTAATAAATAAATACCTATTATAGCAAAATTTATTTTGAGTTTTGACGATTGGCTAATAAATAAATATCAACAGTTAATTAATATAATATATAATACGTGTACGTAAATAAATAATTCTTCTATGATAATTAGTAATTATAACTCTAGTATACATTTTAAATTAGGGTGCTTGATGTTGTAATTTAGTGACCTTCGATAAAATTGAACGGCCTACATATATTTTTCTTCTTCAAAATTACATTGTCATTTTCTCATTAATTTTTCAATAATATCGTTTAAATTGATAATAAAACTTATAAACTCTTGACAATGATGAAAAAATTACTATTTATTGAATGTAGTAAATGACTACGTATACCTATTACTCATATTGACAAGCATAACCATTCAACCATATACAATTGTTAATTAGGTATAATGTATATATATTATATATATTATCACGAATGCAATAAACCTTATAGGCGTCTCATTACTTGTCAACACTTCACATTTTAAATCGATGAAATCAATAGGTACGATTTACCAATATTTTTCTTGTTATTAATACTGAACAATATGCTTTGGCGTCCATTAACTTTTTATAAAATATAATCACATACAGGGAGTAGGTAAGAAATGTATAACATTTATATTTTATTTTTACAACATCCTTAAATATCATTGATGAAATTGGTTTTGATTAAACATTTTGAAAGTCATACTATTTTACATTTGGGCAGACAATTTTAACCTATACTGGGCAATTTCAAGCTTTATTCATCCAAAGATATTCTCCAAGGATACGTTTAATGCAGTTTTAAATGCGCCCTATATCAATTATTTGATACTGATAGTTCTTTGATCAAAAATCTGCAATACGAGTTACACAAAAAAAAAGAATTGATAAAAAGATAGATTTTAAAGATTTATATAATTTGATAGTTTATTGATGAATATTGTTTATTTTTATAATAACAACCAAAATTATTAAAAATGTTAATTGTACTTAGATGAAAAAATTTAATAAAGACGGTAGGAGAAATGTATAAATGTATAATTAATTACTAAAATATGAATTATTTTTCACATTTGAATATATTCTAATGAAATATTTAATCACTGCATTCCTAAAAAAATAACATTATTTTTTATTTGAAAGTTTGACTTCATATAAAAATTAACTTCAACTGAATAATAGTAGCTTCAAATGGCAAATACTGTATGTTGATAGCAATTCTATGTATGATTTGATTATTTTATGATCAAAATAAATTGCGTAAATATACAATATACATACAACTATAGAGAGCAGATTTTTAAAAGTTATTGCATACATTTTTTGCCTATATTCAGCTCAACAGGCCAACAGGGGTAAATAATTTGAGCAATTTATTAAGTAGAAAATAGGAGGAAAAGTACTAGGGAAAAGTACTAGGGGTTGAATAGTTCGTAAAAAAAATGTATTTTGCATATTATAGCATATTTTAAAAATTTCATATTTAAGAATGTATTGTGTTATTTGTTCATAAAAAAGTCATATTTGTTTATTTCTCTATAGTACAAATATTTCATCACGCGAAAAAAAAGGTTTACAATTCAAAAATGAAAAATTATGGAAATTGGTGTATAATTTGTTTGTAATTGAATTGAAAATGTCCTAATTTTTTTGATTGTTTTAAGTGTGACTGCATTTAAATAATTTACTAAAGAAAAGATAATATGCATCATTTTTTTCCTTGGCTTGGTGATGCGTAGTAGTGCTCTCAATCTACGACAACGCTCCGAGAGTACGTTCCGGCCGTCACTCTGATGGGTGACCACCCAGGGTTTTAGCAATACGTTCTTGCCACGCATACAAACGTATTCCAACCAACCTTTCCCTCCCCATCACAATACCAGGCTAATAATCTAAGTAGTTGAAGCCTTAATCCAAATAAAAATAAATAAATAAATAATTATTTTTATATTTAAACTTATTATTACAGGGCGTGCAATAAATGAATGATAAAAATGTAAATATTATAAATTTTTAAAATTGAATGTTAATTTATACTATATATTTTTCATAATATGTTTCTATCATACCTATAACTGGTATACAGATTTTTAAATTATTTAAAGTAAAGAAAGCATATAATACTAGTTTGATGATTGTTAAGATAATATTTTAAGGTTTTTTTAGAGCATAATATATTGGAATCATATTATAAGCTTTTAAGAACCTAATGATCCACTCTTTACATATAACACGCTTCATGAGATTTTTACGACCAAAACTTTTGCATGGTTGTAGTGTTGGTTTTGACCAAACGGATGGCTAAACAGCGTACTCGTATATGTATTCTTTTTTTCTATGGACTCTCAGTGGTGAGACACTAGCCTATAGGCTAATAAGTCATAATAAATGTATTTATTAAATAAATTATTGTAGTGTGGTCGAAGAAATCTTCTTTTATTTAAATAAAAACCAATCACACAGACACGCACTGTATTATATTATTGTAGCCTACCCATACATACACGCACACACACAAATTTATATAACGTGGAAGTGTGTAACACTGTTCGATATTTATAATTAGGTTAGATTTGTTTAACGGCATCGTTAATAAACGTGCCGCGGCGGCGTAAACGCGCATTAGTATTAAATTCGGGCACGGCGTTTCCAAATTGCGGACTAATATAAATTCGGCATGACAAGTTCGGCGAACGAGAGAGAGAACAACGATAGGAAAATGTGTCGAAACTGCCGTCTTGACTGTGAACGGATCATTCGCCGCACGCCATGGCTAATCGCGACAACTATACACATCGACTGTGTTATATTATACTGCGTCTGGGTTGTGCAAACCGCCAAAATATATTTAACAAGGCGTGATTGAGCACGGCGGCCTTGTGTTATTCCGCGGAAACCTATAACACATCACGCAATGATTGATAACACACACACGCACACACGTTGTACGCATTGTACCATTGCAGTGCGTAGATGCAGGTGAGTCTCCCATCGACGGGGAACGTGCAACAGTATGTACCGTCGGTAATGGGTTGGGTAAAAAGAGGAGCTTAGAGGGTAGAGCTAGCTAGGGACGGACGAGAATGGGGTGTTTTTTTTGTTTTTACGTAATATCTCGATTTTCTCAAGCCAGACGAAATCATCTAATTATGTAGTGGGCCGCACGGGGACGTCATGTCATATTATTTTATAAACATTCACGAGATCGTAGAAATATTATTTGTTTATTTTTTTGACGGACGCCGTCGACTTGGTCGTTGTTGTTATTTTGATTCGTCTAGGTTCTGTTTGTTTTCGCGATTTTACCATTTATGTACCCTATACATAACGTAACTTGTACTGAACGAAACATTCAGTAGATCCGTTGACAAAAAATATGTTCATTTTCACGAATAACAACTACTGCTTGGTAGCGAGAAACGCGACTATCGTGCATCATCGCGTCGTCTTAAAATATAATACATAGGTAATAATATAATAATAAAATTACAGTTATACAAAATGTAGATTTATATTCATCAAATTAAAATACATTATAGGTTTTT